TCAATCAGCTTCAGGTGAGGGGGGCTGTAGGCCCTGCCCATGGGTGGATACCAGGGAGGTCCAGACCTTCAGTGGAATTTTACAGCCACACACCCAGACCATGACAATTCTTTTTTACAAAACGCCAAAACTATGACGGGTAGACGACTGGATCGGAGCTTCTCCACAACTGCTGCTCCTGTGTGGTGTTCCCAGTGTGGATGGAGGACTCAATATCTATCAGAAGTGGTCCAAAAGGGAGAAGTGGTGAACCAGCGACAGGGTCATGGGCAGCCAAGGCTCACCTTTGTGCTGGTTCTGATAGAAAGGTGTCAGAGCCACAGAGCATCGCAGTCTGATGTGTGGGGCTGCACAGCCATGGACCAGTCAAGGTGCTCATGCTGATCCCCGTCCAAGCACCAACAATGGGCACCTGAGCATCAGAACTGGACCACGCACCGATGTAAGAAGGCGTCCTGGTGTGATGAATCATGTTTTACATCACGTGAATGGCCAGGTGTGTTGCTCACCTGGGAAACACCAGGTAAGCTGTAATGTTCTGCTGGGAAACTTTGGGTTCTCCCATACATGTGGCCGTTGCTATAACACGTACCACCTACCTAGGCATTGTTGCAGACCATCTACACCCTTTCATGGAAATGGTACTCCCTGATGGCTGTGGCCTCTTTCAGCAATGAGTTCATTCCAATCGAGCATCTGTGGGATGTGCTAGACCAGGGGTGTCCAACTCCAGGCCTCGGGGGCCGGTGTCCTGCAGGTTTTAGATGTGTCCTTGATCCAAAACAGCTGATTTAAATGGATAATAAACCTACTCAACTTGAAGTTCTCCAGAGGCCTGGTAACGAGCTAATGTGATTTTAAATCTTTGTCACTTCAGAGCTGCCTCGTTTGTTGTTTTCCCTGGACTTCCTTTTTTCCTTGAAACCGTGTTTGAGGATGTTTTCATGCTGCTCTGTTTAACCTGTCTGTGCTTTTTTCACATCTCTTTACTAATTTTGGAGTAAATATAGACAGATGCCTTCATTTTTATTAGTATTAAGCTTTTACTCATAAGAAATGGTCATAAGAAATCCTGCACGTTGTTTCTTTTCTTTAATTTTCTAAGACTAAAAAAATATTAGTGTCAATATTTTTTTGTTAAAGAGGTTTCATGTTTTTCTGTACTGAAAGCGAAAGCTGTGGATGGATGCAGAGACAGGATGCTGGACAGGTCCAGATAGGCAGAGTGAGGAGAGAGAGCGTTGGAACAGGGACTTCCCTGAGCCTCCATCATCTGCAGGGAGGGAAAAAAACACTCACACACACACTGCCTCCCACACACACACACGCACACTCTGCTGAGAGCTAGCAAGGGGCTTTAAACAGCTTCACACATAACCGAGACAAAGGGACTGTAACCTGCCACAATGGAAGAAAACATGGATGAATCGCAAAGCCAGAAAGGTAGGAAAGGACGAGCCATTGATTCCTTTTTATCTTCCATCACTCGTTCCTTTATGCCATTGTTCGTTCATCCTTCCCTCCCTGTATCATGGGATTCCTTTGTGTTGTGGGCAGAGAGAAGGAGGACGGCATACACGTCCTGGAGGGGAAAAAGGGGAAAAGAAGCTTAGACTTTAGGCTGTATATTTAATTTGCAACTTTTCTCTGCACGGTTCACATTCCCCGTTTTCCCCATCAGTCATCTCGGCAGAAATGGAAAGAGGCTGTGGATCATAACGAATCCTCCTCAGGAGGCTGTCTGCTCCGGATAAAAACACGGGATCGTACACGAGCCGTGTGCGCCCATGAACGGGAGCTTAAATACGCAGATTGTTTGGGCTGAGGGTGCATGAAACGACAGACACTGGAGGCTTGGTGTTGTTTTGGAGGCTGGACGGACAGATGGACGGACAGATGGATGGATGCATGGATGGATGGATGGATGAATGGATGGAGGTGGGAGTGGCTGGGGGAGGAAAAGGGGGAGAAGAGGGTGATAGAAGGAGGGTGCGTGGGGCAAAACCTTGGAATAAAGACTAAAAATCAGAGGGAGGGGGGATAAGTGGGGCAGTGATTGATGCCTCCATTGGGATTTTCTTTGTTAGCCCTCATTGTTGATGCTTCACGCTTGTCTGAACGCCTTTTCCTCTCCCTCGCTCTCTGCATCCCCCCCCCCTTTTTTTCCGTCTGTGTCGCTCCCTTTCCCTCCATTTTCTTCATATCTCTCCATCTCTGGCCCTTACCCCTTTTCCCTTCACTCGTTCAGCCTTGGTGTATTCCAGGCTGCATTTTTCCATCTTTCTGTCTGTATCTCGTTTTCCCGTCTACCTGTTTCTGTCTCTCTCTCTAGAAGAGGATATTTTGGCTGATCTCCCACTCGCCACCATCTCACTCTCTCGGTTGACTCCCTCTCACTCCTTCATTCCCGTTTTTTTTCCGCCGTCCATTTTTCAAATTCTATTTCTGATCTGAATCTTTCCACATGCGTCCATCCCTCTGACCGCCTCGGGGTGGTTTGCACAGTGTTATTTTGCATTTTTCCCCCCAAACGATTCTTGTTGTTGTTGATGTTGGCAGTAAAAATGGGCGTGTCCATTTTCTTCATCACACCTTCAGAGCCAAATGAGACATCTACTGCTGCTTGCAGGGATTCACAAATGCAACCAATAAAGGAGGTTTTGATGAAAAAAAAATAGAAATATTTATATACAAGGCCAAATGAATGTTTATTCTCGCTGTATCTATGGAAACACCATCCTGACATCGTCTTCTGTTGTGTGATAGGCGCATTTGTGTGTTTTTTCTGGAAGCAACCTGTTTTAGCCAATCAGAGACGCGGGTGGTGTTCAAGCAAACATGATTTTTCATTCCTGCCACTTCTCTTTTTTTTAAGCCTCACCCCCTCTCCTTCTGTCCATTCTCTAACTAGTTCCCATCCTACATCCGTGTCACACTCCATCTTCATCCCTGTCTTTAGTTCAGCCATTACAGGCCTCATCTCTTCCCCTGCACCACACAAAACACAGGTGTGCGATGAAATGAGGCGGCACAGGTGAGAGCGGCTGTATAAGTACGACGTAGAGTTGTTTTCAAAGGAATCGATTTACTTTTACATCAATGGTGTTTCAATACAGGTTCAAATGGATTTGATTGCAGATATGTGGCTGAAGAGTGCATTAAATATAATCTCCAATAATTCTACCGTAGTTCACTTTTAACAGGACCAAAAACTGTCATATATGAGTTCATGTCACACGAGTGGAATAAAAAGTCTTTACAGTGAAGGTTCTCAAATTTGTGACTTTCCCAACTTTGGTGTTTAGTTAAAACTCCGGTTCTCCGTCATCCAGAGACGGATTTAATATTTCATATCAGAACAAAAGTCTCACAGATCTGAAGGTGCGTTTGGATTCAGCATTTTGTTTGATTTATTCCTGTTCTCATCATAGACTGTATCCAAACACTCGACTCTCATTCAGACATGAAAAGGTTGTAATAAACTTGTAATCTTTCCGACGACCAGCAGGGGGCGACTCCTTTGGCTCTTATTGTGTAGAAGTCTTACTTATTGAAGGAAAGCTCATCATGACCACAGACTCCTCAGGTTGTACTTGTCCATCAGATGTTAGCACGAACATGCTGCTTTCAGGCTCAAAGGAAACTATTAAGCTTGACAATAATAACTCAGTGTAGTAAAAACCAATCTTTAAACAGCTGTTCCAACTCCTTTCTCTTTCTGGGGTTATATTAATGGGCATTTGTCTACGAAAGCCCTTCATCATCTTATATAAGCACTTCCTGCTGTGGTAACCGACCCCAGATTCTCCACAGAGTTAATTAAAGTTTCATGTCTTCTAACCTGAAAGTCTGAAAGCGTAGCAGCAACACTCTGAAAGGTTTTGATCATTTTCCCTTCCTGCTGAGGACCGATTTTAGAGACTTGCAGGTTTAATTGGAAATCTCTGGTTCATTAAACACGTCTCAGGCTGTTTGTTTGCTCACGTGCACCTCTGGGAGCAGCTGGATAGCTCCGGTCATTTAGAGCTGCATGCCTCAGTCCTTTATTTGGCTCGGTTAAAACGGTGACTGCTCATGTTACAATAGTAATAGTGCAATAGTTTGGAGAAGCGGCCGATGATTGTGTGACATGAAGTCGTCTGGGTAGAAGACTTTTTCGAGCTGATAATGATGCACCTGGAAGGACTTGTGAGCAGCTGCACGGCACAAACGCGTCCGGAGGTCCAGTTCAGGCAGGCGGCTAGCAGCTACAGCCGCCTGTGTCACCATCCACCTGTCAGTCAACTAAGCCATGCCTCTAATTGTGCATGCAGTTATGCAGGCAGTAAACATGTTTAGTTCTTAATGTTGCAGCCTCTAGTGGATGTTCGAGGAACTGCAGGCTTTGGTGCGACTGTGTTGGCTTCGTTTTTCTGTCCTGTACGCCGACGTCCAGAGGTTCTCACAAACACTCAAATGCAGTCACGCTCAGTGAGCATGGCAGATCAATGGCAGAAATACGTATTAATCATACGTTCACCTTTATGGCACCTCGACTTAGTGTCATATTTTTGCATCATCCATTTATTTAAACTCTGACAATGTTGTAAACAGTGGGATATCACCGTGTCTGCACATTGACACTTGAGCAGTCTCCGTTATCGATCAGCTGAGCTCGTTCTTTGACACACATCCAGTCCCAGCTGAGGTTAGGTGCAGATCCCTGTGTCCTCAGTAGGTGTGAGCACAGGTTGTACACGTGATGCTTTCACGTCAACGTTTTCAGTATCTCTCTAAGAAAACAGAAAATCAGAGTTATTAACTGAGACGGGACGAGAAGGAGGAGCGATCATTTGTGGTTACTTGGTGCCAGACATCATATCCTCACATGACAAATACACCAAAACAAAACGCCGCCGCGGTCTGTGAGCTGCTGCCGTTTCATCTCGTCCTGTTTGATCCGTTCCTCCTTCACGTTCTCGGGTTTGGTGCTTCAGTCGGTCTCCGCTGATATAAAAGGAGCACCGAGGGTCTTTCTCAGGAAACACTTCGTTTTAAAAGGCAACGTGTCTCTACAAATTAGCATGAGCATTTTATTAGCATTAAGGAGCATAATTACAAATCATTTCTGTCTGGGGAAGCATGGCGGACCGGTTTGTTCTCACGCTGCTGCGGTCCAGAGGACATCGTAAAAATCGTTTTGAGGTTTTATAGACGTCAGTGAGAAAGCTGAGAGCGGACTGTGTGTATTTGCCTCATATCCATTTCATTATCACGGCCACTAATAGAAAGGTACTTCATGGAGAGTGCAGTGAGTCAATACAAACTGACTTACAGGCCCAGAGAGGGGAGGGTGAGATGCTGGAGCCATAAAGCAGCCGAGGAGGATGGCATATGGGATGTTTCTGCTTTATCTCTCTCTGTCTGTGGAGGTAATTTCATTACTGTCCATTGACACATGAAATGAAAAGCAGCTCTGCTCTGCTGCCTGTGAGCGTTTCAGCCTCACACACTGTGTGCAGCTGGCTGGACGACCTCAGAGGAAGGAGGTTAACCCCGGCCCTCGCCGTAACACCCGCGGCTCGGCGTGTCCGGTCACCTCTCGGATCCGGATATGAGCAGCTCACAAATTTCTACTTTTACATGAGGAACATGAAAATGAGCAGATTGTTATGACTGCGTTGGAGAGGCGTGCTTTAGTGCTGGGTCCAGTCTTGGAGGCCCTGCTGTGCATTTGGTGAATTAAATACATAAAAGTAAAACCTTTCTGTGAGCAGCTCCACGTCGCAGCCATTGTGTGAGTCGCTCAGTTTATGAGGTGTGTCTGCCATCTTGAAAATATGATGGGACTAAGTGCTGCTGGCCGTGTGAAAAGAAAACCTTAAAAATCTCAGCAGCCTCCTCGCTGGTCTGAGCCGCTTCATGCAGGAACTACTTTTTCTCTGTCGTCCTGCACAGTGATACGTTTGGTTGGCAAGTGGAGCCGTCACAAAACTGTCCCTATTTTTTTGGCACCACAGGCAGAGATCCCTCACTGTTATCTTAGCCTGAACTGTCCCCTGAATGCTGCGAGCCTTCCTTGAGATTTCCTTCCGTGAAATTTTCCGAGCTCCTCATCCTCCCAGCGGGATGAAGCTCGTTATTTCTAAAGATCTGTTTGTCTAAGTGCTGGTGGCAGCAGTCCAAGCTGTGAGGCTTGTTTCGTGTAAGCGGACACAACGTTTCACATTTACACTGCAGTTTCTCCTTCGCCGTCCACACCAACGCCCTCCTGTGGTTTGGTGATGTTTGGCGACGTGTAAATGCTTTTGTGTTGTCGTGTCGAGCATCACGTTTCCAGCTGCAATTCAGAAAATCCTCCTGTATCACTGTAAAGTCAGCGAGCGCTGGCAGCGCTTCCACTTTTTACCGTTTCGTGGAGCGGGTCCAGCCTCGGTTTGTGCATGACATCACCACCACAGTCT